CTAAACTAGCCACATAGGGTGGTCTGAAATAAAACGTTTCTTAAAAAATCCTCACCCGGGGATATGTATTTATTGATTTTATTTTTAGAAAAGGTTTTATTTATTTATATTTAAAGGCAAGGAAAGGAAGGAAGAAAGGGAAAGAGACATCATTGTTTGCTTCTTGTATGTGTCCCAGCCAGGGACCAAACCCGCAACGCAGACACATGACGTGTCCTGATGGGGAATCGAATTGGTGACCTTTCACTTTGCGGTATGACGCACAACCACCTGAGCCACACTGGTCAGAGCAACATTTATTGATTTTAGAGAGTAAGGGAGGGAGAGAGAAAGAGAATCATAGATCAGTCACCTCGCATACGCACCCCCAACTGGGGATCAAACCGACCACCCAGGCACGTGCCCTGATAAGGGATCAAACCACGTGACCAGGGCTGAAACGAAAACTTCCCTGAACACATGTTGTGGCGGGGACTCGTGGCCTGGGCCGGCAGCTCCCCCAGCAAAGGCCGGCCTTCACCCAGACGGAGGCTGACGTCTTCTCGCGTCCGCGACGCCAGACCCCTGGAATGTCAGGGCGATCCCTTTGCCCAGACCCCTCCGGGCACAGCCTGCCGCCCGAGCAGAGGCCGCCGGAGCCCCTCGCTGTCGCCTTGGCCCCCCCATACCGTGTCTACGCGCTGTAAGTGTTCACGTTGACGACCCTGTGCCCCTCCCCCCGTGTAAAAGAGGTATGTGTCTCTCCGTTTTATTTCTTACCCCGTCACAGAGGTTCCCCTGCTTTGCTTCCTCCCGCCCCCCTGATCTATCACCAATAATGAGGTTCGTGTAACCCCTTACGTCTTCTCCTTTGACTCTGGTGTATAAAATGAGCGGTAAAACGGCCAGTTTTCGGAGAATTCTCTCTATCCGTTTGAGGGCCTGCTTCCCAGCAATTGTCTGTTCGCTTCAAATCCTCTACTGTTCGGACATTTCTTCCGGCTCAGCCCTGCGAGAGGACGAACCTCCAGCCCCAAAGACTCAGCAGGGGGTGCGGAGGATGGAAATCCCACAGCGGATGCAGACTGGGGACCTCCCAGGTTGGCTTCTGTCCCTGCTGCTGGCTCCTCAGGGCCTAGGGCCCCACACCCGGCAACGAGGTCACGGCGCAGACCTGGCCGGGTGGTTGAAGCCCTCGAAACCAAAGGGCCCAGGGGGAGCCTGAACAAGGAGCCCGGTCCCCCAGAGGCCTGCAGCCTGGGGGCAGCCCCCCGGGGAGGAGGCCCAGGGCCTCCCCAGCTCCAAGGCCCCAGCCTGGCCTCCCCGGCCAGGTGACCAGCCCACTCCCCTGGTGACTGGGTGGCGGCCGCTGCTCAGCCAAGAGCTGGGCGGCCTCCAGGAATCCCGGGGCCCCAGGGCTTGGCAGCTGGGCCCCCACCAGGCCCCACTGGGCCCCGGGAGGCAGGGTCATAGCCCAGCCCCGCAGCACACCCGCTAGTGAACCGGTGGAGCCACTGGTGTGGCCGTGGGCGTCGGGGAGCTCACCGCCCCCCACCCCCCCCATGAAGGGGCAGCAGACCTCTGTGCCCGCCGAGTGGGCAGGGTGGGGAGGCCGCCCGCAGGGCCAGGCTTCCTGGACTTTCCGGAACAGCCAGGTATCTGGCTTTTCTGGGAAAGTGCCACACTCTCAGCTGTTGACAATGAACTCAGGGGCCTTCCAGCTGCTGATTGGTGGCCCAGGAATCCGTCCTGGCACGGCGCCACGCCCGGGCGGGCGGTGAGCACTCATGAAAAGCATGCCAAGGTCTCTGGACTGGAGGGACAGTGTCGGGGACGGTGACAGCCAGCCCCGGTCTGGCCCCCGCCCTCGGGGCCATGGAGAGGCATCGTCATAATTACAAGCAAAGAAAAACATCAGATGCGTTGCCCTTTGCTCATCCATCCGTCCGTCCACCCACACAGGCAGGGACTGAACGCGCAGCTCCTGCCAGCTCTTGCCCCTGCGGCCACGCCACTTCTCACGTCCCAGAGCCGGATCTCTGGGGCGCCTGATTAAACCACACATCGGGGGGGGGGGGGAGGAATGTGTTGTGCTCATGTATGTATGTGTGCGCATGCGTGTACACACGTGTGTGAGGGGCACTGTTTGGAGCCCTCCGTCAGCACTTATGTCCTTCATTCCTCGCACACACCGATGAGATCTGCCAAATATCTGCTGTCCTTACATTTCAAAGGCAGGGAAGGGAGGCACAGAGAGGCCGAGAGGCTCGCCTGAAGTCACACAGCCAGCGGGGGCAGTGGGCCCGCCCGGGTGGTCAGGGGTCTTTGGAGGGGCCGGGGGGCAGCGCTGGTCCCAGGCCCCAGGTGCCTCTGCCCACCCGTGTGCCTAGTCAGTGGAGCAGCCCTGTGGGGCCGGGGCGCTCAGACCTGGCTGGTCGGGGCAGGTCGGTAAGAAACTAGAGAAGGTCCCTGGCACGTGGAGCGCAGGATCTGAGGCGAATGGCCGAGGGGGGTGGGATCAGGGGCTGGGGACGGCCCAGCAGTGGCGGCCGGTACTAAACCGCAAGGCCCCGCCCTCCCTGAAGGTGCCTGAGAGCAGGCGGCTTAAATCACCTGAGTCAGGGGGACAGAGCCAGACAAACCAAGACAAAAGTCACATGAACCAAGAACGGCCCCAAACTCCTATCCGCCCGTTTTACCACGTCAGCGCGTGGAACGGCGCACCGGAAAGCGTGTGAATGTCCGGCTGCGACCCTCCCTGGGACCCCGCCCCCGCCCCCCCCCCTTCCCGCCTAGGGGAAACAGATAAAACCCTCAGGACAAAGCACCGGCAGCTCTCCTCTGAGCCCCCCCCCCCGCCCCGCCCCCGGGCGTGTACTCTGCTGCTTCTCTCCTAAGCTCTAAGGGTCCCGACCGGACCGCTGGCCAGCGGCAGCCCGTCCCCGGCTCGCCTGGTCCCGTCTCCGGTCCCTCCCTTCCCCACGCTGTCCCGAGCTTTAGTGGCCTTACTCTCTTGCCTTCACCTGGACTCCTGCCTCCATGCTTTTCCTGCAGAGTCAGGCACCTGGGGTCCCTGCCTTACACGCGAAAGGCCCTGCCGGGCTGCAGCAGGGCCAGCCCCCGGTGTGGGGGCGGTCTTCTGACAGGATGACAGGAACTCCTTGGGGACGTGTTAAAAGTCCAGATTTCTGGGCCCTGTCACTTTAAGGACACGCTGGGTGACCCACTGTGAGCGAGTTTAGGAACCAGTCTCTCTGGGCGTCAGGCAGAGACCGGCGCACGTGTGTGACCCACCGCGGGCGTCACGCGGGGTCCAGTGCCCAGACGGACTCCAGCCAGCTGCCCCGCAGGCCCAGCTGCGGAAGCTGTCTGGCGAGGCAGCGGGGGCACTCCTCGGCCAGCTGGGGGGCCTCGCGGCTGTCCGAGGGCCCAGCGCCCCTCCTCTCTGAGGCCTGTGACTGGGGTGTGGCACCTGTACCCACGGGTGGCCAATCCGCAGCCCCACCAGCTGGCCCTGAGGGCCCGGCCCCTGTTCCCAGCCAGCCCCCGGCTGCCTCTCCCCGCCCTGCTGGGGAATGCTGGCTGGGAAGGCTCACACTTCCCCGGGGCTGATGGCCGGAGATAAGGAGGAGAAAGGTCGCTGAGGAGACTTGGCCCCTTCCTGGTGGGGCGGGTCGGCCTGGGCGCAGCCAATGACCCCGCCGGCTGCTCAGGCCACCCAACTGGAGCCGGGAGGGCCAGGCCTGCTGAGAACGTGCACCTTCCCGTCCCGGTTCTGTGCACGCTGGGGACCTTCCGAAGGAACCCTGGGAGCCTCTCTCCCTTCCTCTGCAGCATCTGCCCCCTGGGAGGGTAAGTTCTCGATCCCGGGGTTGGGCGTGCCCCGAGGAGCTGTCCCCGCCCCTTTGCCGCCTGAGCCCCAAGCTGGGTCACCTGTCGGTACAGGTGGGGTGCACCCCAAAACTGGCCTGGCCAGGGAGTGGCAGGGCTCAGGTGCCCAAGGAAGGGCTGGCCTGAGGACCCCACTTCTGAGAAAGGGGTTGAGAGCCCGGCAGGTGCAGCTGGACGTTGTCAAGACGGCAGCTGTGAGGCGGGGAGGTGCCGCCCCGCGGTTCGGCCGCGAGAGGAGCGCTGAGCTGGGGCTGGCGCAGTGTCCACACGTGGCCGGCAGAGGCCTGCTGGAGACCCTGCGAAGCAGCAGGAGACTTGGGATGGGGCCAGCTGGGTCCTGGCTTCCCCCTCCCCCCTCCCTGGAGGTCCGCACAGGGAGGGTTCTCCATTCCTCCTCCTCCTTCCCTAGCCCCTAGCCAGGTCCCCCGGGGCCAAAGTCCCAGAAGCCCTGGGAACCACCTCTGCTGCCCTGGGGGTGGGCCTGAGCGTGGCCTTTGAGCGGGGTGGGGGCTGTGGGGAGCACCAAGGGGGCCCAGCCTGGAGGGGTGAAGGAGGGACTTTTGCCGCCCCCCAGCCCCGTCTGGGCCCCTGGCTGTGGGCTTTGCATGGGCTGGCGGTGGGGGGGAGGGGCAGCCCCATAGCCCCAGGTGAGGCCGCACCTCTCTGAGCCTCAGTTTTCCCATGAGCACAGGGAGCCTGGGGATCATCCCTGCCTGCCCCACAGGGCTGTGGGAACTGGCTCCCCATGGGTGCAGACCCGGGCAAGCGCTGCTCACAGGACTTGGTTTATTTGCCCAATCGTTTATTTAGATCAAATAGACTCGCAGGTATTTACTCTGCACCTTGGGATGTAACCTAACCTAATGAGCGTTGTTCTCAAATCTTTCCAGCCTTGGCCATGGGGAGCTCTTTCAGTCCGCTCCTTTGTCTCTGTGACACCCCATCAGTGCGGGACTTCACCTATTCTCCATCCATCCATCCATCCATCCATCCATTCACTTCCCGCCTCCCCGGCACAGCAAGCCGGCTCATCTTGTGCATGTTCTGGCCTCGTCCCAGAATCAGCTGTTTGCCCCAGAGTCCTGACTCTGGTGGCCGGAGACCAGTCTTAGAAGCCACAGCCTCTCTGTGCCCTGGGTGTGCCTGTCATCACCTGATGTCTTTTATTTGAGGGCCTCTCATCTGCAGAGCCTAGACGTAGAAGTGTGAGTACTACTAACCTACACACACAACCATATCTGCGCATATACAGGATCCTAACTCATGCGTGTACGCACATCTACAAGCTAATGTGTCGGGTTGGCCAACAGAGTCTCTTTAGTTTTTTCTGTAAAAAAAAAAAAGACACATTATTCATTTTCACCAATAACTTCACTGATTTGGCTCTATTGAGTGTGTCGGCTCTCTCCTGACTTCTGGTGTGCTGCTGCCCGCCTCTGTCAAATCTTCCGGTGTCACCACACTCTGCGTCCGTCCTGCGGGTCCCCTGTTCTTCTAAAGGTGTTCCCATTTTCATATGTGCTGTGTGCTGCCAAGTTCAGTGTTTCTCGACGAGTGTGGAGTGCCGTGTACCCCCCATCACAGCGTCATGCAGGAGAGCGTCCCCACCCGACAGCGCCCCTCCGCCCCTGCTCGGCCCCACCGTTGTCCACTGCGGGGCCAGCGCGGGCCAGGGGTCCTGACCCCTTGAGAGCAGGGAAGGGGGCCGCACACGCGGCCACTGCGCGGCTTGCCTCCTCTGGCTCCCGCGTGGCGATGGTTCCCTGTCGTCTCCGCGAGCCTCCCCACTCCCTGTCACAGCGGCTCGCTCTGCGGGGTGCGGCGGAGCGTGAAGTATTTGACACCTGGGTTGTTTCCAAGGTGCTGTTGTTGGGAGGAGTGTCCCCACCCCCGCCACCCTGCCACCTGCAGAGCGACTTCCCGGAGGCGGGGCCGCTGGTGAAAGGGCGGACACACGTGTGGCTTCATGGCTGCCGGTTGGCAAGCTGCCCTTGGACTGGCCAGGCACGGCTCCCCCGCAGTAGCAAAGGCGAGCTGACGCGCCGGTGCTGCCAGGTTGGGCGGGGACAGGGTCTGGGATCACTCGGCGCACCCGGAGCGGGGATTGAGCATCATTTCATGCGCTTTAATAAGGCCGCAGTCAGGGAGGCCTGCGCCGGTCCTCACTGTCCTGTAGAGCCCTGGGTCCTCTCTGCTGGCGTGGCCTCGGTCGCCTTCGCGGGCAGAGTGTAACCAAGCGCAGCTGCGGACAGAGGGCCAGTCCAGCCTGGCTCTGAACCCAAACCAGCAGCAAACTTGTTTGTTAAAAATTAAAAGTAAAAGGAATGAGGAAAACACCAGACAAGTCTCAGCTGAAGCGCGTTGTACAAAATACCTGGCCAGGCTCCACCGTTCCCGAGGCTGAGAGCTCTGGGGACCGGCCGCCTGACTCATCCCCGTCCCGGCCCGACGCAGAGCGGGGCTGGCAGGCTTGGGGCTGGCAGGCTTGGGGCTGGGCGAAGCTGCCAGCCTGGTCCTGGCCCTCTGGGTGACAATGATAACAATGTCCTCCTCCTCCTCCTGCCGGGGGCACTGGGCCCAGGAGACACCAGGGCCGGGGCTCAGAATCAACGGGCTTCCTCACCTTGCCTTGCCGCCCCCCCCAGCCCCGGTGTGTGCGGGCGAGCCTGTGAGATGTGGGGATGCGGGAAGGCTGGGCCGGGGCCGGAGGGAGGACCTGCCCACCCCGCAGAGGGCGTTCCCGCCTGCCCCTCCCCCTGTAACGTGACCTGTGAGGCCTGCAGCTGGGCTGCTGGCGTGGGAAGGGCACAGGTGTGGACGCCAGTCTGGCGGGGCTGCTGCTTGGGCCCATTGAAGAGCCTGCGCCCCCTGCCCCAGGCCCCAGAGGGCAGAGAGCTGTGGCCAGGTCCTGCCCAGCAGGCCTCGCCCGACGAGGCGGCGAGAGGGCCCTGGAGCCCGCCATCCGCCGCATGACCCCCTCCGAGCCAGCTGCCTCCCTCCCTGGAGAGCCCGAACGAGGGGTTGTGACCAGACAGCAGGTGGCAGGACAAGGGTTGGCGTCGCGGGCGACGCTGCCCAATCAGAGGCGCGAGCGGCCCAGGGCTCCTGCCCTCTGCATGACTGTTCGGGCTCCGAGGGGCTTGGTTGGCCCACTGTCCGCCTTGCTGGTGCCTCTGTTTGTTAGTCGTTCAACAAACGTGTGCCGAGCCCCGTCCGTGGCCTTGAGGGTGCTCTCGATTTAACCAGGGCCCAGCCTGGATAGAGACCCCAGTCACAGCTCGGTGCGCTCGGGCCCCGGGGGGGAAGGGAGGGGCTGGCCTGTCCTCGGTCAGCGAAGGCCGTGGAAGGAGGGGACACGCGGGGAGAGCTGAGGTCAGCGCCTGGAGGAGGTCACGAGGAAGGGTGGCGTGCACATGCCAGGGCCATCGGGGCACGTGGAGTCCGGAGCCCAAGCGCCCAACCGTGGCATTGGCGGGAGGGGGGCCTGGGTGTAAACAGGTCGGGGCAAGCGAAGGACCCCGAGCTGAGCGGCGGCGGGCCAGCCCCTGAGGTCCGGCGGGGCGGGGGGCCTGGGGCACGGGGACGGTTGTCCAGCCCCCGCGGAGGGAACGTGGGCTCCGCGTCTGCTCCGAGGCGGCGCCCCAGGTTGTCAGTGCGGACGCGTGGACAGTCTAGAAGTCCCTGCCTGCCCGCGGGCACCGGAGAGGGAGAGGGCGGGGGCGGCAGGCGGGGGCCGGGGGGGGGGGGGGGCGGGGCGGGGGACCCCGGCCCGGGGGGGGGACCCTGGGGAGTCCTGTGGCGATGCCCCCGGGCCCTCCCGCTGTCTGGTTTCTGGGAGGCGGGCTCTGGGGAGGAAGACGGTCACAGCCCCCGGGGCCTGGGTGGGGTCTGAGCCCAGCAGGGTTCAGGCGTCACAGGCCGAGTTCAGACCCCACCCTCCCGGTGACTGGGCTCCGGCGGGTGTCCAGCATCCCCGTGGGGGCGGGGCGCCTCGCCCTGAGTGAGGAATGTGGGGGTCCTGGGCAGGGAGGGCCGGTGGGGGCGGGGTGTCCCTGGGGCTCCCAGGGACAGCGGCAGCTGCAAAGCACGTGCTGTGCCCCCGCTGCGGGCTCGGTGCACCCGCTCCGGGTCACCCCGCGACCTTGGGCCTGCAGTCTACCCTGTGAAGCGTGACAAGGAGCGGGTACCAGCCTGGGCCCTGCGCCTGGTGGGGGCTGTGAAAACAACCTCTAATGCCCTTCTGACCAACTTCCCCCCTGTGCCCAAGCACCATGCGCCGGCGGCTCGGGAGGGAGCAGCCCGCCCCCCGGAAGCTCTGCCCTGGGGCAGCCACCCCGACCGCCCCAGGTGAAGGAGCCCCCGACACACACAGGCCCATCCTGGCCAGCCGCCCGGCCAGGAGGGCCCCTCGGCCCAGCAGAGCCGGGGCGGGACCGAGGCTCAGGCCTCAGGAAATGCTGACCACTTCCCGCAGGCTGCAACCCGGCCTGGGGCGGCCCCCGGTCATCTGGAAAGCCTGTGTGGTCCTGACATCCTTGTCGTGCAAAGAGCGGTCCTTGAAGTCATGGGGCCTCGCGTCCCCTCATCTTTGGTTCGTAGGGTTTCCGCCGCTAAGGCAAGAACGCAAGCGTGCAGAGCTTGCCGGGCACAGCCTGTCCTGGCCCTCCCCGGGCGGCCAGCGGCAGCCGGGGCCTGGCTCCAGGCCAGCGGCGTCCGTCCCTGTCCCCGAGATGCATCCGCGCTCAGACTCGTGTGGGGTGCGGAGGCGCCCACCGGGCAGGGCCTCCCCAGGCCAGTTCCTGCCTGCGGTTCCTCAGACCCAGAAGCGCGGGGTGTGCTCAGGAATGTGCTGGAGCGGAAGGTGTTGTCTTGTCTGTTTGTCTTTCTGGGAAACCAACTGCATTAAGCCCGGTCACATCAACAGGTCACAGGTGTTGAACCAGAGACTGGGACAGACGCGGTGCTGCGTGGCGTGGAGCCCGGCAGGGTGCGCACGGTCACCCGGCGGGACCTGGGCCAGGCCGCCCCCGCAGAGCCACTGTCGGCGTGGAAGCCCGTATGACCTGGGGCGAGGGCCTTTCTCTGCCTGGGCCTCGCTGTCCCCGTCTGTGAGCCCGCGGGGCTTTGCTCTCTGGCCCCCTGTCTTCGGCCGCCTCTTTGCCTTTGCTTCTGAACAGTCCTGGTTCGGGACGACCCGGGTCCACAGTCACAGCCAAAATTGGACGGGGGCGGGGGGCAGGAGCGGCCTCGTTGGGCCCGGAGGCAGCTTCCAGCCCGGGCTGGGCTGCCGCGGCCGGCTCACAGGCGCCCGTCACGCCTTCTGAGACAGGCTGTGACCCTGAGCCTACACGCCCGACCCCCGGGGTGGCAGAGACCCGCCCCCCGGCCTGAAAGCCGAAGCCATTTGCCCTCAGGCCCCTCCCACAGAGAGGGCACGGCCCCGGCTTGGGGGTGGCCCGTGTGGCGGGACGGAGCCAGAGCCTGGCGGAATGGGGCCGCCTCGGGTCCCCTGCCCGCACCGACCTGCAGGCCCGGGAGCCTCACTTGCACCTGCTGGGGATGGGCCCTCGGGCCAGGGCCCCCCGGGCCTGTCCCTGGCCCCCACTGCCTGCTCTCAGCTGGGAGTGGCCGTGGGGGCTCACCTGGCTGCCCACCCACGGCAGGGCAGGCAGGTGAAGGGCAGGAGGGGCTGTCCCAGCCCTGCGCACCCCCCTCTCCTGAGACAGCACAACCTCGTCAGGGCTTGGAGCTGCCCAGCTCGAAGGCACTCGGGGGCCACCACGCCCAACTCCACCTTGGGAAGGGGGAAACTGAGGCCCAGGCAGCGACAGGGCCGCCCAGAGCAACTCAAGGCCGCTGGCCGGGGTTGAGAGCGGCCTCTCCCAGGCAGGGCTGCGGGGCCGCCCCAGGCCCAGCGTCCGGGAGGGACTGTGTTTGGAAAGCCTTCGACCCGGGGGCGCGCTGCGCAGAGGCGGGGTGCACGGCGCACCAGCGAGGAGCACTGGGCACAGCTGGGAGGCTCTAGGGAAACCCCCAGTGGCGCGGGGCCAAGGGCGCAGCTGCGGAGACAAACAGGACGCGGGTCTCGGGCGGCGGGGACAATGGCCAGGACAGGAAATGTGTCCAGACCCTTTTATGAATGTGGAGCCTGCCTGGGGCCTCTTTCCACACAGTTTCCAGCAAAACAAGGCAGCGGGAGCCAAGC